GGAATGAGGAGTGACTGCTAATAGATGGATACATTTGGGTGACAAAATATTATAAAATTAGATTGTGGCAATAGTTGCACATCTCTGTGAATATACTAAAAATCATTGATTGTAAACATTAATTGGATTAATTTTATGGTTTGTGAATTATGTCTCAATAAAGCTGTTTAAAAACTTAAAAGTTGGCCGGGTGCAATGGCTCACACGTGTAATTCCAGCAGTTTGGGAGTCCGAGGTGGGTGGATCACGAGGTCAAAAGATCGAGACCATCCTGGCCAACATGGTGAAACCCCATCTCTACTAAAAGTACAAAAATTAGTTGGGCATGGTGGCGCATCCCTGTAATCCCAGCTACTCAGTAGCCTGAGGCAGGAGAATTGCTTGAACCCGGGAGGCAGAGGTTGCAGTGAGCCAAGATCGAGCCACTACACTCCAGCCTGGCGACAGAGCAGGACTCCATCTCAAAAAAAACCCAAAAGTTAGAGCAGTAAAAACAGGGCAAAATAAGGGCACATATTCCAATGTACTAGCTGTAATTGAAGTTCGGTGTGGTATTTTTCATAGCCTCCATCAACCAAATAACAATATTTTTCACTAGTTAAAAACACATTTCTTCTAACATCTGAGTATAACATTTAGGCTCTACTCAGGAGTGGAAGAAACACATCCTTTTATTCAGTGAGAGTTTTAATAACAATGCTTTCTTTGATGGTACGGGTTCTAAACTTGGAACAGTATGAAGATTTAGCATGACTCTTGCAAAGGTACATGTACATCAGTGCAGTGTTCATATATTAAAAAACCTTTATTGAAGGAAATAAGAGAAGACTTGAATAAATGTGATGTGACCATACAATAGTATAAAGACAACAATTCTCTGTAGATTTCCCTAATAATGTAATGAATTCACAGTCAAAACTCCAGCAGGACTTGCTTGTAATGTTATAATGACTAACTGAGATTCATAAACAAGAATGAAGATGTAATAACAGCAACCCCACAGAAAGAGTATTTAATAAAGTAGAGAACTTGCCTCCAGAAAGGCATGATAATAAAAACAGTGTGACTAGTGCAGAGAGGCAAATGTGTGCCCAGAAACAGACCTGTGCATGTGTGGAAAACCGCTATGTGTAAGAGATTGCAGGATCATCCAGTAAGTCAAACTATCATAATTGTGGAATCAACACATGTCAGTGAGGAAATCAGCAGGATGGTAAAGCTGGTAAGAGCATTTGGAGAACTGAGGAAAAAGTGTTGGGGAATAAGTTTTGTTATGCACAAAACTGGTGACCCTTTGAGAAATTATGCTAAAAAATCTATAAGTTAACATAATTTTACAGAGTATAGGTTTTACTGGTAAATAGGAAGCCAAATAAAGGTATATACTTCCTAGAGAAGTAAATGTTCCTTGGATGGGCCTGACAGAAAGTGCTCCAAGGTCTTCGATTTGCCTTGTTTCCAGGCTATTATAACAGGTAGTAGATGAGTTATTCCTTGCCGATCCATGCAGGAAAGAATTAAATTTAGCTCAGACTATACAGAAAGTGGATTCTAGATTATACTTGTGTGTTTGCAATATTATTTTCTCTACTTTATAAATCTGAAGCACTTCTTACTAAAAAAATGAGAAAATGGGTTCTTAAACACTAGACAGTACTTTCAATAAATGAGTTGGGTCTATATCTAAAAAAATCCTGTTGAATAAAAAAATCAGTTTGTAGCATGATGTGCTTATTGTGATATTAACATAAATCTAGACATACTATAGAATTTCTGTGACTTCATGTACATGTGTATACAAACATAAAGGACTAGAAGAATCTAAATCTAAACTTTTATACCTTAGAGAAGATGAATAAAATATTATTTTATTAATAATCCTTATATTCTGCTAAATTCAAGTATGTTGTACCAGGTAAAGATACAATAATTTTAGCTTTTATTAACAGATTAATTTAGTCACAGTAATATTTTAACTAGTTTGAGCATTGAGTGATTCCTGAATCGAATATTATTAGAACACGAGCAGTTCAGTGTTCTACCTAAGGAGTGGGAGGGGGAAACTTATGAAGTATTTGAAGAAGCAAGACAAAGAAAATATCTGAGTGGAACAAGTGGAAGTTCCTAGTTAGAGGTGAGTTGGCGGTTTCTGACGGGCTAAGTTTAAGTTTCATTTCCACTGTTTACATTGAGTTGAGTTTCCATTTGCTTATATAGGAACCATCTTTGCTGAATGGCCTCCCAATTCATCATCATTATTATTGTTGTTATTATTATTATTATTGTTGATATTTGAGATGGAGTTTCACTCTTGTGAAACATTGCTGGAATGCAGTGGGGTGATCTTGGCTCACTGCAACCTCTGCCTCCTGGGTTGAAGCGATTCTCCCGTCTTAGCCTCTCGAGTAACCGGGATTACAGGCAGCACTGCCACGTCTGGCTAGTTTTTGTATTTTTAGTAGAGACGGGGTTTCACCATGTTGGCCAGGGTGGTCTCAATCCTCTGGCCTCAAGTGAGCCTTCTGCCTCAGCCTCCCAAAGTGCTGGTATTACAGGCATGAGCCACTTCTCCCAGCCCCAATTATTTTAGCACTTTGAAACATATAATATTTACCTGGCACAGCAAATCTATGCTTATAGCTAATGTGTTATATATCTGACATTTCAAATCATTGGGGGAAAAGATGTGACATGGCAAAAGATTAGGGAAAAAATTACACAGCACTATCTTGTACCATCTATTCAAATTATAAATGAATAAACCAATTACATATTAAAAAGTAAAACACAGGTAAAACTGTTATATAATTTTTGTAGAGGGAAGGTTTTTCTAAGTATGCCCTCAAAATCAGAAATGTTAAAGAAAAAAATGATAGTTAGGACTAAGTAAAAATTTCAATATTGGGGAGACTTTTATTAAAGCTAAAGGCAAATGTGAAAAGGGGGATATTTTAACAGTGTATTTCAGAGACTGTGTGTTTCTAGTCCTTGAAAATGAGTCTGTAAGTGAACAGATGGGCAAGAATGGTCCAAATGGGTAGATAGCCTTTTCAGTCACTTCCTCTTTCCCTGCTTGTAGACAGAGCTGATGGTCACTGCCCAGAGTCTTATTTATGGAATTGGGACCTATATTCTCCAAATAAAAAGTTTTTTTGTGATGGAAATAACCTGCCTTCAAATGACATTTCCCCTTGCCTGTGGAGTTTTCTTCCCTCCTACCACCCACACCTAACCACCCTTGTAAGAACAACTTTAGTTTTACCCAATACAAATGTAAAATTTAGGAAACTTGATATGTCCAAGATAAAAATGAATGTCTAATGTCAAATATTACAGTGCATTGGAAAGTTTGAACTTTCAATGGGATAAAAACAAACTCTACTTAATTGAGGGCATTGTACATCTTTGCTTTTTTTTGTTTTTGTTGTTGTTTTGTTTTTTTTGAGACAGAGTTTTGCTCTTGTTGCCCAGGCTGGAGTACAGTGGCACGATCCTGCCTCACTGCAATCTCTGCCTTCCGGATTCAAGTGATTCTCCTGCTCAGCCTCTTGAGTATCTGGGATTGCAGGCATGAGCCACCACACCTGGCTAACTTTTGTATTTTTGGTAGAGATGGTGTTTGACCATGTTGGCCAGGCTGGTCTTGAACTCCTGACCTCAGGTGATCCACCCACCTCGGCCTCCCAAAGTGCTGAGATTACAGGAGTGAGCCACTGCACCCATTGTGTATCTTAGAAATAAAAGACAAAACAAACAAACAAAAAACTTCTCCAATTGGATAGTCAATAATCTTTCTTCTACCTCTTTTGTTAATGACTCAAGCTCTTCTTTGTTAGATGTGTACTGTTAAGGTGAGTGGAAGTGGAAGGAGATTGGCAATTGTATTATAATACAGGGCAGGACTTACTCTTTTTTTTTTTTGAGATGGAGTTTCGCTCTTGTTACCCGGGCTGGAGGGCAATGGAGCGATCTAGGCTCACCGCAACCTCCGCCTCCTGGGTTCAGGCAATTCTCCCGCCTCAGCCTCCTGAGTAGCTGGGATTACAGGCACGCGCCACCATGCCCAGCTAATTTTTTGTATTTTTAGTAGAGACGGGGTTTCACCATGTTGACCAGGATGGTCTCGATCTCTTGAGACCGCGTGATCCACCCGCCTCGGCCTCCCAAAGTGCTGGGAATACAGGCGTGAGCCACCACGCCCGGCAGGACTTACTCTTAAACTCTTTCTCGAAGTTTCCTTCTCTGAATGGACCTGCCCTTATGGTATGTCTGTTGAGATATCTTTGGCTCAATAAACTGGCCTAAGATTCTGCAAGGCAGATTGGTCTTCTCCTTCTTTATGTTACTTCAACTTTCTGTGGTGTATATTTAATGGGAAATTGCAAAATATGTACCCTTGCCTTCAGGTATGTATTTTTAGGAAATAATTAGGCAAGTGAGTAAAGGGGCTTATTATAGTAGTTTGTAATGCCAAAACTCTGGGAGCAACCTACATGCCTGAAAATGAAGGGCAGGTAACAAATTATGGTATTTCCTGTCAGTAGAATGCTGCAGATGCCATGATAAAGCAGCTCTGGATTTATTGAGAAGAAAAGATTCTGGATAATTCCTGTATATAATTAATTATACTGTATATCATAACCCATTATAATAAATATCTTTAATAAAGTTTCATTAAAATATGTATAGATTTACTTGGGGAAAAAACCTGGAAGGATATATACAAGGTACAATCCTATCTTTGGGTGGAGAGCTGTGTAGTAATTTCAGTTAACTTATTTGTTGTGTACTAGAATGAAAAAAAGGTTATTAGGGCTATATTTCAGGAATGTTTGACACATAACAGTAGATTTTTGTTGCTTAATTTTTTAAATTGATAAGAAATGGAGGTAAGATGTATAAAAATAATTGGAAGGCTTGTATTGTGTAATGGCACCGGTGTAGACTTTTCTCACAGGACAAAGAAATAAAAAACCTCACTCTGCCTTTTTAATTAACAGATCTTCTCACTCAGATATGGCGACAAGCAGCCTTCACTTTGCGTCATGTGATAAGCAGGCACCCAGACAGCGCGGAGCATCTACTGTGAGCAGGTCAGGAAGGGTTGGGGCATTCCTGGGGAAAGAGGGGAGAACAGTCCAACCCTTGAAGGAATATAATACTGATTTTTGCATAGTGCTTTGCATTTGACAAACCAGTGAGGTCAGGAGAGGCCTAGACAAGTAGAGTGCTCACTTTATAAATCAGGGAAGGAGACAAGGTGGTTGCTAAGGCACTCAGTGAACAGGTGGCACTGTTACATGAAAGCAAAACAAAATTCAGCCTTTGGGGCACAACTCCCTTTCAAGTCGTTTTTATCTTTAAATATTTTTAGCAGTTATTTTTATTATAAAATAATAAATCACATTGCCTAACATTGGGGAAGATGGAGAAAAGGAGAACCGTCAGCCATAATGATGACCACTTGAACACAAAATTTTGGTGTCTTTCCTTCCAGTCTTTTCCTAGGCATGTGCTTCCTGACACAGTTGTAGCCATAATAGAATTTTTCATCAAATATTATGTTATGATTCTTTCTCTTTCTTACATTTTTCTCATAATCTTGGCCTAAAAATACATTTTAAGAAGTATTCATTGTAGAAAATTCAGGAGCTATAGAAAGCACAAAGAGAATGAAATATGTATTACTATAATTCTAATTATTTTTATGTGTATTCTTTTTCTCTCATATTAAATATTATTCTTAATTGGAATCATATTAAATATACTGTTCAGTAATCTTTTTATAACTTAATATAGCATGATATTTCCCCCTTCCATTAGTTATTTTTCTGTGATATCATACTTGGTTAATGCTTGTTCCTTTCCAGATTATTTTAGAATTAATAGATTCTCTCTTTGAATATGAGAGTTGTTTTTTATGAGTTATTAAGGCAGCTCTGTTAAAGCTGTTTTAGTACATGAGAAAGCACTTTTCATCCATCCTTACAAGTTTATTAAACTTTTAAAATTATACAGCAGATCGTTAGCAATTCGGATTTTGCATTTGAAATTTCAGCTGTGCATATGTTCTTTATACTCATGGGTTTAACATTTTGTCTTAGGATTCTACCCTCACAATATACAGAAAAAGTTATAGAATGAAGATAAAGTTGAAAATAACTTCTAAGGATCTTAAGGCATTTGTTTTCCTATCCTTTTTTACTGTGTATGTCCCTGCTCATGGAATTTTGTGTTTTCTTCAAAAAGAAGTGCTCTTCCTTCACAGTTAGCCCCTAACTCATCCAATAGTTTCCTAAGTAACTATTGTATCAACATTTATAATGCTGAGTTTGAAAGCTGTAATAAAATAAATGAAGAGTACTGAAAGCAATTATAAATAAGGGTATGACATGCACAGACAGCAACGAGCTGCATCTGTAGACTGGAAGTCTTTCGCGTGCACGTAGTTGTTGAAGTGATGAACCACGCCTGTGTTTCCCAGATAGCCATAACAGAAGAGGATGGAGGAGGGAACCTTCGGGAACACAGAACACTGAAGGATGGCTGAGGCCATTATCAGTTCAAGCAAGAGCTACGTAGATGTGTGAGAGAGGAAGACTCTACGAGTTGGTAGCCACAGGACAGGCAAGGGACTTGGGGGAGGGGTGAGTTCTGGAATGCAGTCAGCAGAGCCAGATGTGGCAAAGGGGTCTTCAAGGATACAGGTGGAAAAGTATCCTTTGCATTTCATAGTTAGGTCATTAGAGACCTTTAGCTCATAAGGTTTCAGGGAAGTTGGGGAAGGAGTCAGGCTGCGTGGCTACAGGTGAATGGGAGCTGGGGAAGTAGGGAGAGTGAGCATCAGTTTCTTTTCTGAAGCTCTTGCCTATGAAGAGAAGGAGTGGGAGAAGGGTGTGTTGGCAGAGAAAGCAAGATTGAGGGAGTTATCTTTCTTGGTAGTTTTACTTTAAATAGAAATGAATGAGATTTGTGTATATTTCTGAATTGGGAAGGAGTCAAAGAGTGGAAGAGGTTATAGATATATAAAGGAGGAAATGGAGGTGAAATATAAGAAATAATTGAAGTGTTTTCATGGTAGCACAGGGTGAGCATTCCTAATCCAAAAATCCGAAATACTCCAGTGAGCAGATTTGTGTGTGTGTGTGTGTGTGTGTGTGTGTGTGTGTGTGTGTCTGTGTCTGTGTGTATGTATGTCGTGGGTGCTCAAAAAGTTTCAGATTTTGGAGCATTTCAGTTTTGGACTTTCAGTTTAGGGGTGCTCAACCTGTATTCACATATGCAATTTTCATAGTCTTTTTCTTTTTAAAAACTAAATAATAGACATTCTCACTCTGCCTTTTAATTAATAAGTCTTCTAATGCATGTGTCAAAGCAAGCCCTTAGAAATGTAATGTGGAGCAGCCTAAAAGAACAGTTGCAAAGTGGAGGAAGCTTGGATGTGGACAAGAAGTGTGGCTCTGACACGGTTAGTCTGAACAGAAAGTGATAGTGCCATACCTCATACGTTACTCCTCCTGGGACTCCTCACTCCACACATAGCCATTTGCTTCTCAACACAAGGTTGTGAGGCAGCCAGGGAGGGAATTTAGGTCACCATTTAACAAGTGAGACATGCTGGATGTCAAGTGACATAGCCGCTGCCACAGCCAGGCCGTGGTGGAATTGCAACTTGATGCTCCACCTTCTCATTTCCAGGCTAGTCACCTTTCATAAACCCATTTGCCTTCTTGCTTATAATTCCTTTCACTTGTTTAGCCTTACAAAGTGTTTTGAAAACCACAGTTTCTTTTGATTCTCCCTCCAACCTTGAAAGAGCCAAGAGAGAATCTTCACACAAAAGGATACTCATCCAGAGAAGTACATGATCCGCTAAAATGCCTTGTCACTCTGAAATTCTTGGAGTTAGAATTTCCTGCCAGTGTCCTTAAAGGGCACCAGTGATAAACCTGAAGACATTTGACAGTTTTGTGTTCATCACTTCACATCTGTTTACCATCTAGTTTTTGAAACAAATGTGTTAAGGTCACTTTGGAAAAATGAGGAAAGACTCTCCACCCTGGCCAGAGCTTTGTCATCACTTACTTTCTCCTCTTACCACATCTCTTCATTAGAGGTGGGAGAAATGGGCTGAACACAAGGTTGCTCAATTTACCATCTCTAAGATAAAATGTGTCTTTTTTATTTACTTGAGAAAGTCATCCAAGCAGAACAGGGGTCTAGGGCCTCAGAATGAAAGGAGCAGGGAGAAAACCGGGAGAAAACCTTTGATAGACTTCTTCATACTTCATTTACCAAGCCTAGCTATGTTAGCGCCGTGTAGGTACAGAGCATTGGTGGCTTTGGTTGGCATTAGGAAATCCCAGAATTATGCAGGGAGTTCAGGCTGCTCAGGAGACTGAGTTCCGGAGACTGTTAAGTGGGATGAGGTGTCCAAATGGCTCAGTCATGAAGGTTATGGCAAAATGTTGGCCAAGGGCTTGTGAGAGAAGAGGGTGACTCTACCTTGGATTGGTTAGTAAAGAATGCAGGATAGAGGGAGTTGTTTCATTAGTACAGGGTTTCAGTTTTGCAAGATGAAAACGTTCTAAAGATTGAAGTGATGAGCCACACCTGTGTGGTTCACACAGCGTGACTATACTTAACACTACTGAACTGTATGCTTGAAAATAGTTACGATGATAACTTTATGTAATGCGTATTTTACCACAATTTTTTTAAAAAAAAGAATGCAGGACAGATCACCCAGCTGTTATTACATAGAGTTAAGTCTGGCTTTTACCTCCTTTGTGTTAGAAGGGTGCCAGGTGTATTTTGCATGCCGTTACCATGTCTGTGCCGTACCCTCTTGGAATGATCCCTCTTGGTTTAACAGCTACAGCAACAGAAACCCTGACTGGGCTCAGGCATGCTGAGGCCGGTTCCTGGGAACACATCCACCTTCTCACTGTACTTATGTTACTCTTTCTTGCTTCTTGCTAATTCATTGAGCCTTCGCCTAATGAGCTGGCTTAGTTGCTTAACCAAAGTAGTTAACCAGTGTTTGCCAAGAAGCCATTTCACAATAAGTTATTTTTATTAGAGACATATTAGGCAATGTAAAAGCATTACCTTATATAACAACGAAAAGCAGCCTATTATAATAGTAACAAATTGGTGTAGGAAGAAGTGGCATTAAGGTACAATAAGTGAATTTATATATCATGTTTTGGTTATGGAGACTAAGTGCTTTTGTTTAAAAAAAAATGAACAAAACCCAACTCTTTCTGTTAATGAACAGATCTATTTAAGTAGACATAACTTGAGCACTGTGGTACCACAGCAGTGGCTCTGGATCAGAACTCTGCTCTCCTAGGGGCTAGATGCAGAGACCTGGTACCCAAGGCCTCTGTTCTGATGCCATTCTCTAACAAAGGAAACCAAGGCTCCTGGCTGATTGCCAGGGCAGGTAAAGTACACGATGAACCTAGAAGATCTTGTGCTAGAAAGTAAAGAATTGTGGAAAAAATGACAGGGCTTGTCGAAAGAACACGGGAGCAACATAAAGGGGCTTCCGGTTGCCAAATCCAGGTCAATTTGAGAAAGAAATAACGACTGTAATGCGTTATATAGCCCACAGAATCAATTAATATCTATGTGTTCATAGGATGTGAATAATTGGGTAAACATGTCAGTGGTGGGAGGGAGAGCTCTTCCCTACTCATTCTGACTAATGTAGAAGAAATGATGGGAACAGGAAATTGCTGTTTGACAAACCACAATGGTAATGGGTACAGACAAGAACCCTCAGTGGACACTGAAGTTAGGGACCGATGTGTGTTGTGAAGTGGGGTGTCTGCAGAGTCTTGAGAACCTCCCCTGAAGATGCTTAGTGACTCCCAAGGGAACAATAGTAACCTCACAGTAGACACCACCCTAGCTATGCCGTCATCACCAGAAACAAGCAGTGCACAAAGCTCATAGCCCTGGTATCACGCACTGAGCACACGGCATCACTGCTGTGGTTTTCTTGCTCCAAATGTCTCTCATCCAGGTACTAACCCGGCTTGAGCCTGCTTAGCTTCTGAGATCGGACAGCACAGGATGTGTTTAG